GCTATTATTGCCTTATTTTAGTCTAACAGATTAGAATGCTGTCCAATGTCATAATACTAATATATAAGGTATAGTTAATAAAAATAATTAACTTTTTAATAAATTATTAATAAAACTATTATTAAATAATTTAAATTAAATAAAAAAATATTTTTTAAGAAAAGCATTATAGTAACTAGTATAACTTTATATTATAATATAACTATTGTCCTTTTAGTACTTAAGATTGTGTATACTGTACATGTTGCCTTGTCTAACTATTGCCCGTCGGAACTTGACCAGGATCGGACATTACCTGACTTCTTTCGTCACAAGGGTCCCTTGTCGTTCTCCCTGTCTATTGAAATGACACGATCCCTGTTCGCTGATGATCGTCCTCACTACCGATCGGTTAGGCGAGTTGACCCATGCTCAGCGTAAACATGCACTTCCATTCACATCACTGTTTCAACGACATCACGTGACACGATCAACCTCAACTGTGGACGACGAGATGGTGGAAATGATGCAGTGCTCTGCCATTTCCTGTTCCAGCATTGACGGAAATCCCCATGAGTCTCGTTGAGCGTCTTGACCTTGACAGCTGGCCTCGGAATCTTCCAGGCTGGCCAGGGTTAATGCTGAATGATTCTTTTCTCCATCCAGCCACCACAAGAGGTGGCCTCGTGCCCCCTTGCATATCACTGTAGGCAGCCCGCGCATGTATGATGCATGCCAGCCCACTGTATTATCTGACTGAAGCCAGGAGTGACGTATGTTTAGCAATGCCTAACCCTCCGGAGAAAACTTTCGCAGCCCTTTATGCCCTATTCGTGGATGCCATGTACAAATGAAACAATGCACGACCTCAAACGCCCAGAAATGCTATCTACTATGTATCTTCCTCTATGATTGCTAAAACAGAGTATCGTTTTGTCATGAGATTCACCGTTTCTTTGGGACAAAGAGATTTGGCTTCCCTTTCTTGCGAGAGGAAGGCGGGTAAGGTGGGCGTCGTTGCTGGGGACAGTATAAGTAAAGCGTCTCATCGAACTCATAGTTTTAGACATACCTGGTTGTTGCTATATTGCGGTCCCGGATTTGAAGGTCCCGTCGGAATTCTGGGTCCTGTTGGGGCTTGGGGTCCGCTTGATAATGAGGGACCAGTTGGTGTTGCTGCAGGCGGTCTCTCAGGTGGCACCAGACCCATTACTGACATTGCCGAAGGGTCGGTGGGAGCCTTGGGCGGCCGGTGCGACTTATTCCCAAACTTGCCCATGAGTCCACCGCCCCGAGCCTTGTCACTTGCTATCTGTTTGATTATTAGCTTACAAAACCTTGTTCTAGGTATTTGTTGTGTTTGTGGGCATACCCTTTTAGGAACTGGCTGGTTTGAATCTGGTCCGTCATGAGGTCGCTTTCGTGCTTCTCCTGGAGGCTTGCTTGACGAAGTATGAATGACAGGAGGCCCAGCAAAGCGTGGCAGAACCCCAGTCGGTTCACCTCCTGCAATGCCAGGTATGTGAGTTGCGGGAGCCGTCGGCTGCTGAGCTCCCTCGACCCTTGGTGAGTTTGGACGAGATGAGGGCAGTGACGACGTTCCCAAAGATGCATCTCGCATTGGAACATCACGGTCCGGAGCTTGGGGTGGTGGGGGAAGGTAAGCGCCCGGCTTTGCCTTTTCGAGGGGCTTCCTAAACATAGATAAGACGTCGCCATTGGTGTAGCGATCTCTGGCCTGGGCATCCTCAATAAGTTTTCGCCAGAATTCGCCCTGAATAAGCGCTCTCGAGTCACCAAGAATCCACAGCGATGATTTGGCACGAGTCAGACCGACGTTCATACGTCGAATATCAGTCATGAAACCGATACCGCCAGTAGAACTGGCACGAACACAAGAGAAGATGATGATCTCACATTCACGACCCTGGAAAGCATCGGTGGTGTTGAACTCGATTATGCTGGTGATGCTCTCGCCATATCGCGAACGGAAGCGGTTTCTTAACTCATAAAGTTGAGCTTTGTAAGGAGTGATGATACCGATCTTGCCAGTCAAGTCGCATTCGCGGTACTCGTTACTAAAGCGATCGTACATCTGTATAGCAACATCCAACTCCTTGGTGTTGACCAGTGACTGGCCCTTGTGGCCCCTCTCCTGGACACCCTGGACATCGAAGAATCGATAGGGACCAAGTAGTGCGCTCTTGTGCCAGGGCTGTTGCCTGAGCTCATGCATGTTCTGTCCGTCGGCGAGTTGTCCTTCGTAGAACTCGCGGCTGGGGAACAAGCTGATCTCAGGATGCATGCGGTATTGCATGTCCAGCAAATGCACCGATTGTGGGTGGTTTTGCTGCATTCGGACGAACAGACTTTGATCGTAACCGAACTTCGCCGCTGACTGTGACAGAACTGTAGGGGGGAGCTGTTTAGGATCTCCAACGAGGATACATTTGTAGCAGCCGTATTTGAGCGGAATCAAGGCACTTAACTCGACGCACTGAGCAGCTTCGTCAATGATGACAGTTTCGAACTCAACATCCTCCAGGTTTCGAAACATCTCGTGACCACTGCCACTCAGAGTAGCGCACAGGACCTGAGCGTTATTGAGGATCTCCTGCTGGACTTGGCGGCGCCGCATTTCCATCTCTCGGGCTACAGAATTGCCGCTGCTCTTGTCGGCATCGATTTGTTTTCCATAGGACATTTGGCGTCGCTTCAGTTCGTCGAATTCTCGGGATAGCTTGTTGTAGAGGGTTCGATCGTCCATGAGCTTTGCTGCTTCCAGCTGGGGACGCAGTTTTCCCAGCTCTTCCTTTACCTTCCCGGCATTCTCGTGGAGTTGGTCACGGTCGGCTTTGGCTTTATCCTTGATCTGATCACCCTCCATGCGGGCTTTGACAAGCTCGTCTAGGGTGACGTCCCTTACAGCTGCATTAATGGCATCACTCCGACCGAGTCGTAGCACGTTGATATTCTTGGTTTTCCCCGAGATCGTTTTGACACCAGCCTTCAGACGTAGCACTAATTCATCTACGGCGGCGTTACTGGGTGCACAAACAAGGAGCTTTTTGGAACGGCTTTGTTTGGGTGCCCCTGGTGCACTGTTCGGTCGCAGAGGTACGCCCATGGGAATGCCTTGATTGCCTGGTTGACTCAGTTGCTCAGAGAGCAAGGTTCCAACCATGGCCACAATGGTTTTCGTTTTTCCAGTACCGGGAGGGCTGCTGATATTAGCTTCGTCATGACCAAGGCCGAGAGACTTACCCCTGAATAAGCGTGAACCCGTCGTTGTCGTGAGCGCCTAGAACCGCCATAGCCTGTCCCCGGTTAAGAGCATAATTGTCCATACAGTTGTTTATCTTCTCGTCTCCATATTGCAGAATAGGAGACGGCTCAGCATTCAGAATTTCGTCCATTAAATCATAATACGGCATACTCTCCAGCGCAGCGAATTCTCGCTCGATTGTTGTCATGTTAGTGATCTTCACTCCGAAGACGCTAACATTCGGGGTCAACACCTGTGTCATGGGGTTGTTTCGGGAAGCCACACGATATGTGATCTCGATCAGCTCCTTTTTGTAGGTGATGCGATGAACCCTAGCCAAACAATGTCTAGCTGTCTGATCGATCAAAGGTTGTTCCGATTCTGAGATGAGAAGAATATCGCCTTCAAAAACACCGCGCTCTCTGCTTTGGACCACTGGCATCGTGAAGGTCGCCTCCAAGTAGCTGTCGACGCTCGCACGGCTTGCAATTTTCATACCAAATGGCTGAGACGTGAGCTCATCCTTGGCTGTGACAAAAGAGCGCCAAGCTTCTGAGGCAAGCAAGGGAAAAAAGGTATCCTGGTACATTCTGGGTTCAGAATACTTGTTGGCAACTTCTGAAGCTGCTGGACCATTGGGTGGATCGTTACCACCATGGAAAATGTCCCAGGCTAGCACTGTGTTGTGTAACCTGTCCATGGGAGGGATGACTCTGGCTCTCCTATCCTTGACTGAGCGCTGCTGTCTAACCTTCTTCACTGGTCTACGCATTTTGTCTTGCAAAGCCTTTGCAATGCGCCGCCTGTTAGCTTCTTCCAAAGCTGTCTGGCCTCCCGTACTAAGGGCAGCTAGTTCGTTATCGGCATCTGATACATCTTCCTCTTCATCAGATTCTTCTTCGGAACTGTTTACCATTATCTCACTTCGGCCATGATCCTTGCCGATGAGGCCGAGACTAAGCAAGCCGGAACCCTCACCAGGGACAGTTTCTCCCCTGAGAGCTTTGGCGTTCGCTATGACCGCAGCATCGCGCTTCTCTTTTTCAAGTTTGGCCTTTTGTCTGGCTTCCTTGATCGCCGCGATCTCCTTCTTATCAGGGGCAATCTGTGTTCTAGGCTTGATCATAGCTTGAGCCTTTGATTTGGACTTTCCCTGATCCTTAACTTTCTTGGCCTCCAGCTGCCTAAGCATGGGGCTGTCTATAGACCTGCTGAGATCGAGCACGTCATCACGATTAGATCTTGATGATGCGCCAGACTTGGACCAAGCGTCAAGTTTGCTTTGTTTCTTGACCCCATGTTTGGGTCTCTGTACTAATGGTGTCTGCGCAACACCGAGCTGGTAGATTTGAATTTCATCATCTGTTTGTCCCAGGGCTTGAAGAAGTTCTGCTCGCTGCTGGTCAGTCATATTGGTTGACCTGACAAACTTGCCCGGGACATTTGTAGGTAGGCAAGCATCGGTGATAAGCTTGCGGGAGGCAGGGTTGATCTCATGGTTGTTTTCTCGAAGTCGGGTCAGAATCTTGCACAAGACTCTGACTGTGACATCAACGAGCCACTTGTCCTTCAGACGAATCATGTTCTCCATTCCACCAAAGTGTTGCTTGGCAGGGATAAGAATTTGCGACATAGTATCCTTTTCACTTTTGTTCAAAGCTTTGGAAATCGCCGATGTGATGAGACCATCTTCAGCGACGAGGGCTTCAGCCAGTTCCATGATTTCTCGGCAGAATTCTGTCATGACGGCGTTCTGGATGTATCGAGACCACCCCTCAATGTTTCTGCACGCAGTAGAGACAAAACGCCACTGTTCACTCCACCAACGTAAGACCTTCGCAGCCGACATAGGCTCAAGGGTCTTGACTCGCAAGACTCCGGATATGGGGTCAGTCAAACCACGGAGGATATCTCGACTCATATTTAGCATGGGCCTGATGGGACCCCAGGGGTATGGAGGTTTCAAAACTCGCTCTAGGACCCATACTATGGAGGAGAGGGTCTGTTCAGGGTGCAGCTGTGACATTTGCTCGAAGGCGCCGCTCTGGGAAATCTCTCCGGTCCAGCTCTTCAGCAGCTGAGCAGCTGCTTCAGCAAGTCCTGCTTCTCCATGGGTAGAGAGTGTAATAGTACCTTGGAAAGCCAGGCGATCGTCAAAAAAGGTATTCAGGTCTGTGGCAGGATCTATTTCGGACATTCGACCGAGAAGATTCCCAAGAATATCCATTGTTGCAGCAAGAGACTTGTTGAAGTTCTTGCTCGAATCACTCAGTTTATCGTCGCTCTTCAAGGCCCTGATCTGTTCCACACCAATCAAGGGCTCTAGCGACAAGACAATATCTCTCGCAAGATCGACCTGCTCGGTTGACAAATCGAACATCTCAATGATACCTTGCCAGAAAGCTTTTGAGTCTCGGGTGACAGCGGATTGCAGCTGGCTGCCCTCCAAGCAAGCTATATACTCCTCCGCGAAGACTTTCATATCGAGTTTCATGGCAGCTTGCATGACCTTTTTAGCTGCATTTGCTACTTGAAAGGTGACCCAGCCTTCCCTTTCATCGCCAGGGGCACGCAAATTCCGGAGCATGATGTCTTTGTACTTCATAACGAGGTTGAATGCACAGCATGCGTAGAGATGAGTGGTTCCCGCGCCAATCTTCGTCTCTGGGTCGACAAAGGTTGATATGGTAAGCTGTAAAGCATCAAATCCAGCTCGGATACACGCCGCGCGGCCCGGTTCCCCAATAGTCTCGTCTCTCGCAAGTGATTCGAAGAGAGTGTGCATTAAGATCTCGCAAGCGTTATACCTGCGATCGCGGCCGACTGACTGGAGCCATGGGTCAATCCAAGACGTGGGAAAGGGGCCACGGGAAATGCTACCATCGTAGCCAGTCCAGCAGTCTTCTAAAGATTGACGAAGGAGATTCTTGTATCCGGGACTCGCAAAGATTAGGTCAGCGATAACATTTGGCCGGGCATCGCCGATAACATCCCAAAAAGCCCTGGGTGCCTTCTTTAGAAAGTTTGTGAGGATTGTGATGGCCATCACCAAGACACTCTCTGCAGGGCAGAACTGGATATGGCGGAACAGAAGGTCGTAGATGTGACTGATTGTGCCGGTCAGTTCAAGATTCCGCAACCGCTGCAGAATGACGTCCGCAGTCAAGGTCCTTAGAATTTCATTGAATCCTTCCCAGAATTGCGCCATTTCAGGCCATGAGTCCACAGCTGAAGCCTCTTTTTTGGAAATATCCTCAATCGCCCTTGTCAGACCATTGCTCACAGCCCAGTCGAACTGTTCTAATGTCATACTATTGCTGTCAAGGTTTCGATAGTTATCTGTTGCCCATTTTCGGCGATCCTGGTTTTTGAGATCAAAGATAAAGTAGGTCATTCCAGGCAAAGGCTCCTTGGTCCCAAGCTTGAGGCCACTTTTCCCTTGAAGTCGCTGGAAAACATACTGAAAGGTCATCCTTCGATCAGCATCCTCCATATACGGCATGCAGCATAGTGCCTCGTATATAGAGATATGGACCTCGGGTAGATGCTCACCGAGTTGGGATTTCTTGAAAGTAGAGCCTTCTGAAATGATCTTCTCAATAAACCCCTTAGCCCATCGGAGGCTTAGGTCGATTCGTTCAACATCTCTCTGCTCCAACATCGACCGAATATCGACTACAACTTCTTCGTTCCATCGTTCTTGGAATTGCTGCAAGAGTTCTCTGCGTTGCATATGCCAATTATAGACACAATCTGCGCAATGCTTTAAGCAACCGTTAAGCCTTTCGCTGAGCTGCTCTCCCCATTTCCCTTGGCTTGATTGATCGAAGCCGAAAATCAGGCAATTCCAGTATGTGACTTCTAGTCGCTCCTTTCCTGCCTTAATCCGATTATTCTTTTCTTCTTGCGTAATCGATGAGTCGGGGTCGTCCATGAGTTTGTAGTTTTCATTATCCTCGTCGTTGATGCGTGGGCACAGGAGATGGCATTCCTCGTCGAAGCGTTGAATCTTCTCGTACCATTGGCTGAGTTGCTCATGAAGATCCATTGTAGGGTTCGCAGGTACGTTGGCGCATCTCTTGGGATCGTGACTAAAACAAAGGGTTCGGGGGTGCTGTGGGAAGTCGGATTTTCATGAGGTTGCGACAATTTATTGCCAAGTGTAGCGAGGGTCGCATCCGGTGAAGAGAAGGGTATCTTCAAACTTGTCGCAACGAGTTGAAAGTTGGTTGGTGGTGGTGGTCGAAAAAATCGAAGTTGAGTTGAGGGATCGTTGCTGGGGCACTCTGGCTCCAAAATCAAACAACCCGTTCCTTAAGTGCCTGACAGTTTGCGGGACAACCCTAGGAGATAGAACAGGGATGCGAATGAAAGGCCGGGTCGCAGAGAATGTATGAAGTCCCTTGATATCCTGTCGGAGCTTGTATACCAGTGAGGCAATGAGCCTACGGAGCAATAGGAAAGAAGAAGATCAGGTAGGATAGGAAAATAGTTGTAACGCTAGGTCAGAAACTGGCCGGGCTTTGACGCGCTTGGGTTGCCGCGTTTTGTGCAGGGGGTTTAATGAAAAATAGCGGGCCGTTCGTCGCTGGCTGACAAGGCACCTAAGCCACTGATGTCTAATTTGGGTGAAATGGTTGCTGAAGTGGCTTGTGATAGGACACAGGTAGGATAATGCATTGCATGTGTAAGAAACATAGTTGCACGAAATGCTAAAGAGGTGCAACTTATTTGATGAAAACAGCCTTACCCCCAATTATCTAACCACAGGCACTTAATCACTGTCCTCTTCCTTCAGCTGCTTCTTCAATCCTGCTTTCCCTCCATACTGTCTCTTCCCTGTTCGCTCCATCAGTCCATCAAGAGGACATTTTGATTTATTCCATTCTTCGCTCCCCTCGCTTGTGTTTGCTCTACAGCGGATACAACTTCGTCCGTGTTGGACGAACAGCTTGTGCAATCCATACTTCAGATGATTGGGGATGCGCACCTCCAGATGACTAAATGTTTGATCTCGAGTGGCTTTGGGGGGTATCCATTTCAACCATCCACTGATGCGGTGAACATGGGTATCGACTGCGAAGCTAGGTTGTTGGAGACAGAAGAGAATAACGCAAGATGCTGTCTTGACGCCAATGCCAGGGAATTTAGTGAGTGTCTGCATGGCTTCATCAGGAGCCATCCCATGTATATGGTCTAGCGAAAGAATATCTTGGTCTGTCTTCAAGATTTCAAGATCTTTTTGACCCTGAGTTTTGTTGTCCGCTCCGGCAATACCAGACAAGCTCCCCCCTTTCTTCTCTTGCATAAATGCCTCTCGTCGTTTGGTGTTCTCTTCATGAACTAACTCCAGGATTGCCTTGATGTCCTTGCCCTTGACCTGAGCCAAGCCACCTGTCTTGATTGATTCAACGATGGTGGGCAAAGGAGCAATTCTGACCTTGTTCCAGTCAACACTGCCTTTTCCGATACCTTTGTCAACAGTGCCAAATGTGGCCACCAGCCCCCTGAATGCTGCACTTGAGTTGCGGTTGGAGGTGTTCGCGCTTAGGCGGGTACGAATCAAGGCATCGAGAACAGATGGTACCTCTCCGCAACCCGACACTTCCAAAGATGGCGCTGGTATCTTCTCGGGGGCTTTGGCCTCTCCGTGTATTTTTGCCAGTCGGCGATAGACCACTTCACATTCTTCTGCTGATGGGGCGTTCCACTCTGGAAAGGGCGTCATGCCAGGAGTAAGTCCATACGGGTTATCCTTCGTTTTTTTGGCCGTTTTCCGAACTGGTGCTTCCATTGCCACCTGGAGATCCTCATCCTTGACCTCCATCTTTAGGGGGGTGGACTTGACTTGAGGTTTAGTTATTGTCTCGTCATCAGATTCGAAGTATGAGGATTTCGATGTCGATTTCCTTGGGCGAAGGGATCTTCGGGTTGCCAACTCCGTGACCTGGGTCGAACCTTGCTTCACAGCTTTCATCCCTGATTTGGCCACAGGTGAGATATCTCCGACTCTGGTACTTCTCTTCAAGTCCTGTGTCTCTTCCAAATTTTCTGGGGGTGTAGGAATCGTTTCAATGTTCTTCCGGGGAACACGAACTGGTCCCAGATTGTGTGGAAGGTCATCCAAATACTCATCTTCCACCTGGTCCTTGTTCTTCCTCCCGGTCTTCATTCTCTTCGTGGGCACCTCCCCTCCACTAGCAACCTTACGTTTTCGTAAAGTTCGAGCAGCCATCTCGACTTGCGCAGAAGCTGTGGAAGTGTGGAAGTGACGAAAGCTTGGAGATGATGTAAATAGGCTCGGACAGGGGTGCAGGGGTGTCGAAAGCTTGACGGCAAATAGCAAATAGCTTTTCATTCCACAAGAGCAGGCAATCTTTTGATGTTCTATTTCAGAAGGGTACTCATTTTTGTTCTGGCCATGGTAAGTGTTTGATCAGTTTTGTGATTACCTACTTATAGTTGATCGCATCAATGACCTCAACAGTCGACACAAGGATCGCTGGGGTCTATCTCCATCCTGCAAATCGCTGCTCTGCCAGGACGGGATCCACTGAACTAGGTACCTTAGGTAGGTACCTAATCGAAACTGGTCAAACAGTTAGTCGTAGTCCCCTTTACTTACCCTGTGCCATCCGCTCTTGAGACAGCAACATCAAGGAGCATCAAAACACAATGAATACATTTATTATGTTCTTCAATTATTACTTCAACCTCCATAACTCCTTTGTCTTTCTTTCTCTAAGGGATCACAAATTATCACTACCCCAACTTCCATCATACCCAATCAGGGCTCAGTGACAGCTTTTGTTAATAAGATGCGTTAAGAATGTTCCAACATCAGTCAGCTGAATCAAGGAGATTCCGAATAGAGCTCAGCAAATGGCCCAGGGAAGCATTTAGAGACATGAATGAATCTGGCTATGCTTTTGGAGCTCCATCTGAACGGCGGTGAACTCATTCATCACATTCAAGTGCCTTCCACTGCCTCACAACACCTTTGCAATACGAACCCGTTAGCCACTGGATCTATCATCAGAAGCTATTGAACATACGCTAGAGCCAGTCAGGCCAGATGGCGTTATTTGATAGCTAATATAGTTGTGGTATGCATGTTTTTAGATTGAGTAACATAGCCAGCAGGTCTTGTGCGGTTTATATGTGATGTACACTGCCCAAATAGTGAACACTGCTGGACTGGAACATCGATTGAAGAGCTCTAACGGAGCTACAAGATCCATTGATTCTATAAGACGCTGGTGAGCTATTTCTCGGTGTGGCATAACCGATAGATAGAGCGGATGGTCTCCCTATGCACACACAAGCGCATGTAAAAGACGGCGCCTGGGACACTGATGCAATGATACCTAAAGGAAGCATATATATCAGGTCCTGTAATAGAGCTGTAGCACAAGCGCCACGAGAATACGATGCAGGTCACAAGAACATAATGATTGTTTCAATATAAATCCTCAACTGGTCAATAGTACTTATACCAAGGTTTCATGACGGATAAGAGCTTTGACGGGACAAACGACCCATAGGTCATATTGCACGAACCAAATATTTTCAGAGAAAGATACATGTTGCCCCAGATACCAAGGAATTTACTTAAACTTGAGGACCTAACCGCTTCTGATACAATAAAATGCTTCTCTCGCTTTCTCTCCTGCAACCAACCATCGCTTTTTCACACTCTATTCACTGGCCTGAGGCAACAACTGCCTCGTTTGCTCGGGTATGCAATTATAATCTTTTCTTTCCCATATTGTGAGTCACAGTGAACTAACGCGGAGCGACGTAGACATTTCTTTTGCTCGCTAGGCTGAGGTCGATTCTTAAATATGCCTTGTGAAAGAATCGATATTGAGGCGCATCAAGAGACTGATGACGTTTTATTTATTTCTCAAGAATATCGTGGGACCTTTGGTCATCGAAGGCGTCTCTCATCTTGCACAATTGGAGATGAGGATACCAGCAGTCACTCAGATACCTCAGCCCATCCTCTCAAACAGGGTGAACTCGAGCTCAAGGCAGTAAGGCTACTGAATACGACTATACAAGCAGGTTCATTTCTTGAAGTGCGCCCATTCTTTCACGGAAAATATCTTGTTGAGTTCATTCTGGTCAAAATTCTGGTTCGATGCCGGTCTACAAATGCGATCAAAATCCGTGGCACACCCTTCCTGAGAAACCGTTCGGCTTTAGCAAAGCTTCCAAAGAAGCCAAATGAAGTCTGCATGCTCATATGTCGAGATGATGACACGAACCACGAAGAAGCAACAGACATCAGTGCATCACAAGTGGTTCAAATGCACACTCTGCTGATAACCAACGCCAAATACCCCAATTTCAACCGGGCTGTCTTCAATCCACAATATCCCGCAGAAAGGGGCCGACCGAATGTGCAGTCCACGCACTTGACCTGCCGCTAGAAGCTGGAGGTTTGTTATGCTGGACAAGGGAACCGTCGGAAGCAAGATGAAGAATCTCTTGCTCGTATTGACCCCAGCGAAGTCTCACGGAGAGAATATAGAATTTCCAACGAGATACTCCGCAACAGATGGCGAGGAACTACCGCCAAAGGAGGCTCATGGAACCCCTTTTCAGCCAGTCACTATATCGACCTGGAGTCTGAGCGGCCCAACGAAGAAGATCGAAGCCACGGTCAGCAGTACACGATATTTGACTCTTGTTCCGGTGCTGGCGGAGTATCGCGAGGAGCCCTTATGGCTGGTTTCAAAGTCCGATATGCGTTGGATAAAGCACCAGAGGTTTGGGATACCTACCAAGCAAATTTCCCTGAAACCGAACTATTCAAGATGTCCCTTGACCAGTTTCTATCTAGTGCGCAGACGATCCATATGCGAGTTGATGTTCTACATTTTTCTCCGCCATGTCAATTCTTTTCGCCAGCACACACGCACGCATCAGAACATGATGATGCAAATATTTTTGCGTTATATGGCTGCAATCAACTCCTCAAGAAGCTGCGCCCCCGTATTATCACTGTGGAACAAACATTCGGGCTCACGCATGACCGGCACGAGGAGTACTTCAATGGCTTCCTCGGAGACTTCACACAGCATGGCTACTCCATACGCTGGAAAGTCATAAGGCTTTGCACATGGGGAGCTGCTCAAGACCGGAGACGCCTAATCATAATTGCCGCCGCACCTGGAGAGAGACTTCCGACCTTCCCCAAGGCTACACACAGTCAGGATGGCGGCAACGGATTGCTGCCCTACAATAGCATCGGAAAGGCGCTAAGGGGCATCCGCGCTGGAGACGATCTTCATGACCTTGACGATGTCCAGTATTTTGATCCACCACGGGTGCCATATGACCCAGAACGCCTGGCAGGGACTATCACCACTGGCGGAAGTTACTTCTACTACCCTGACGGCTCACGAAAGCTCACTCTCAGAGAGCATGCAAGCTTGCAGGGATTTCCCAAGTCACATCAGTTCTTCGGTACTAAAACATCCATCAAACGGCAAATTGGAAACGCATTTCCCCCAAACACGGTCCGTGTTCTCTACAAGCACTTAGAACAATGGCTCTTGAACGAAGACCGCATGAAGCCATTCAACAACAACCAGGACGCCATCCTCATTGAGGATGATTCCGACACAACAGCCAATCTTACAGATAATTCTGAGGATAGGTCACGCCACTCTCTGGATATGATGGACCGAAATATTTTTGAGACTTTCGATATGCCGCAACATCGACGCGGCAGAGACCCTTGGGCAGTCGAGGACATGGTGATTGACTTGACCTAGCTCCTGAGCAGGTTTGATCAAGACAACATGTTACGGAGAACGAGATTAGTGGTTCCTGGCTTCGTATTGTAGCAGCCTAGAAACTAGATGACAGTTTTTCTCCTTGGAAAGGGCACGATGTGGTAGATAACTGTTCTGTTCGAGCTATAGATCCATAGATACCTACCTTCGTACTTAAGGTAGCCGTCACGAATACTAATGTTTGATAACATTACCTAACTTCTAAGGTACCTTCCTTAGTACTTTAGTACTTTACTTGGCACATACCTACGCTCTGAGATAAGGTACCCTTTATAAGAGAGAGCCGACCCTGAACAGGTGCGTAAGTAAGCACCTAACACCTGCTACCACTGCCTTCTCTCTCGCTGCCCTCAAAAAACTCCCTCCGACTTTTGACAGTGATTCACAGCTGGCGCGCAGTGCGGAGCTGCGCGTCGGGTGCCTGCCGCGGGAGCCCTACATGAGCACCTTCTTATAACAAACGGCGAGTGCAAACGCCTCTCCTCCTTCCCTCTTCTTTTCTTCACCCTTGCAAGCTTCTGCCTGAGATTAGGTAGCTAGAAGGGACCATCGTCTCCCACTTCCACTTTTTCTTTTCATTCTCCTTTCGATTCTTTAATGAGCCTCAGAAACTCGCTGCTATCACGACTTGTTGCTATTGTTCCGATATGGCATCATCTGCTTCCCTCGTATCGGCCCCTGTCGGAAGAAGTGTTCCTACGTCCGGAAATGTGAGTTTGGGCCATCCAGCCCTGTGAATTATGTCACTGACATTGTGCTTCAGAAGCCACTGGAACCACTGTACACCCTGTCTGTGAGCGAGTATGTGATCAGACACGAGAATGGCACTATGATCGAACAACGAAATGAGGAGACTATATTGAAACGATTCAATGATCTTCGAACCCCCTTCAAGGCCTGGCCCATAGGTCAAATTGAATCCTTGGGCAACTCTTTCACCACGACGTGGCTCCTCCTTGTCCCGGTTCCTAAACAATGCGAAGAGGTCATCTTTCCTGCGCTCACTGACAACTTCCGCATCGAGTTTGAAGAAAGAATAAATCTTTCGAACAAGACCTACTCTCTCGTCAACTTGTCAGCAACACGCGTAAAAAACCCGTATGAGGATATGGAGACCATCGTCGGCCCAGAAGTCGTGAATTGTGCGGCCTTCAACGTCCAAGTGCCACGTGCGGTGAAGAACGTCGAAGGCGACCAAGAGATCCTCGAGCTCATGGATCATATGAAGACAGCCGCTGCACTCGACGACTTTGAACACATAACCTTGGATCCGCCGAGTCAAAAACATGTCTTCATCACATGGGAGACGTTTTCGAATACTTACGAGGCCGAACTAGCCGCACTGCATCGCCTAACTGGAGGTTGCCAAATTGAAAGTCGACAGGTCAGCCCAAAGTGTAAGGCTGCTTTTGAGACAATACTTGAATTCAAGCGACCAAACACGGCGGCTGCTATCGATCTCCACGGGATATTCCCCCACCTCCAGAACCCGCATCACCCAGATCATAGGGTTCGGAAGAACCTTCTGCGACGATTCCGATCCTTTAACAAGGACCACGTAGCCGCATTCCAGGGACTAAAGGCTATACCGAGCGGTCTCTATTTTGTGAATGGATGTCCCGGTGCGGGTAAGACCGAGTGGAACATGGTCGTTTCTGCTCTGATTCAGTCAGTACGTCGTCCAGGCGCGAAGAGACGTTATAACCCCATTCTATTTCTGGTTGACCTCAACAAAACTGTCGATGATGCTGCGGACCGCTACTTGAACTTGGCAAAGGACTGTGGTCTTCACCTTCGCATCATTCGAATGCACGGTTGGCCTTACGAAATCAAGAACAGCGAGAAACTGAGCAAGAACCAAGCAGAAGACTTCGAGCAGCAAACAGACTTCACAAGAAAGTTTCTGACAACTGCAAACATTGCAAAGACTTTGAATACCGGCAGAAACACCAACAAGGCGCCAACACTTGATGAAGCTGCCTGGGACTACTATGAAAAGCACAAGCATGGTGGTTTTGTGGTGCTCAAGAAGGTGCTCACGAGAATGGAGGCCGAGGAAGTCTTGCACCATGACGACTGGAAATGTCTGCGCAATGAGATCACGAAACTGTACACTGCGGTTTTGAAGCAGGCAGACTTCATAGCCACGACACCCGTGGCCGCATATGGCGGCTTCGCTAGGCTTTTCAAGCCAGACATCATCTTCATGGATGAAGCACCTCATGCCAGAGAGCTGACGACGCTCATACCTATCGCCTTCTTCGAGCCGATTGCTTGGATATTCACGGGTGATGTCAAACAGACTCGACCTTTCGTGAAGAGCGGCGATCCACGCGATGCCCTGAAGAAAGGACTTGAGGTGAATCCATATGCTGAGCAGCTGCGTCTTAGTCTCATGGAAAGGGCCCATAGAATGGGGGCGATCAATTGTTCATTGTTGATCAACAAGCGAGCCCACGGGAATTTGCACAAGCTGCCGTCGGATCTCTTCTATGGCGGAAAGATGTCATCTGATTACCCATCATCGAGGCAGTTCCCGGAAACGGTTAGCTACCTGAGACGGCACCTTGAAGCCCTTGGTAGTGGAAAAAGGCTGAACGCGAACCGGGCTATTGTTGCCCTTTCGGCGAGCAAAGAAGAAAACCATTGTCACAGTTTCTGGAACCCTGTGAATCATCGCTGGGTCTTGGCTGAAGTCCAAAAGCTTTTGCAGGACCCGGCATTCCGAACGATCACGGACAGTAAGCAGCCCGGGCGTGTGATGATTCAGACACCATACAGTGTCTCCATGCGTCAGTATGCACACGTGGTTAAAGGATGGCCAGTTGAGTGGCAGGAGAGGACAGAGGTTTTGACGGTGGATAAGGCTCAAGGTAACCAGGCAGATGTGGTTTTCCTCGATATGGTGAGAACCACGAAGCCCGGCTTCATGGACGAGGCACAGCGCCTCAACGTGGCGATAACCAGAGCCAGACAAGCGGAAATTGTTCTGATGCACCCTGCAATGACTTTTCGCATCCGTCAGGGTAAGCGGGTACCGACCGATTACACCTCAAAGGTCTGGAACGATGCAGTTGTGAACGATCGCTTATTCGTGGTCTAACTGTGAAGTCTTCAAGAGGGATTGTTGAGGACGATGAGGAAAAGCGTGTTTGACGGTGTTTGTAGCTGTTTGAGCACTTGAAGTTCAGTTGGTTGATAGGACAAATTGGGTCTGTCTTTTTGTTAATTAAAGGATGTTGGGTTGAACCAAAGCAGAAGTCTATCGAAGCCTGTACGTTGTTGTCTAGAAAACGTTGAATGAAAGAGAAATCGTCAACAAATATTGCTACTCGCTTCCCTTTAGTCAAGAGATGAAGTCAAAACAAGGTCACACAGTACTCCATATCCGATGGACTAGGGAGCTTAGTAGTGTGAAGTGTCTTGGAGGCAATCGAGCCACACTGGGGTCGGTGTGGTGGGGGAAATGGCTTGGCAACAAGATCGGGATTTTGTGAAGCATGAATGTTAAATTTAGAAACGGGAATAAATGCCTTGTCCATGTCTTCACTTTCTCTAAGACGATGCGAAATGGGACTGGAATGTTCAGCGCAACGACTGACAGTGCTGACATGAATAAACCGGGATTGGCTCAGGACATTACCATGGAAGAGAAGCCAAGAATAAGGGTCCAATGGAGTATCTACCTACGCAGGAGGGGGTTAAATGGAGGAAAGACTGTCCAAGTTATTTTATTATCCTTGACATTCTGTCACAATAGGCTAACATAATCTTATCAGGCGAAAAAAACCATGACACTCTTTTCTGTTTACTAACCGATGTCCAAAACCCCCCCCTCCCTAGGTATAGGCACGTAGATAGAACAGTGACCCAAGGGTCCGTCATCCAAGACATCCTTTTTATCAAAGGCCGGTCCACTCTTTGAATTCAACTAACTATTATTTCTAATATTTCCAAACCCCGTCACGGATCCTATTTGTTATGATGGGTAATAGTTACATTTTATCACGGACGAGAGTAACGGAATGACAATAATCTCGCATGATCAGTGCCAATCAGACTGATCCGAAATGGTGCCAATTCTCAATCCTTGCCTTGCTCCCGCTCGGTCACGAACACTGGAGAGGACGGGGCTGAGTCTTGGCTTGTAGGGCCAGCGAATAAGAACATCTTGTAAATACAGAGCTGTCAGATCTAATGCTGTAGGCTTGAGCAAGGAGGACATTCATTATGCAGCCAATTTGATGGCTCTCTGAGTAATCTTTGCTCTTTCGATACCTAGGTATTCACAAATGCATTTATTTATAGAACTTGGCTGCAAATTATCATCGGCATTATATGGGGCCAGTAGCTTGAGACCAGCTGTTTAACGAAACCCGCGGTCGAATGAAAACAGGGAACAGTGACATCGTCTCCCGATGTGACGATGCGATTGTTGCTAATACTGCTCATCTTCAATCAAAAAGAGAGAAAAGACCTTGACGTAGGAATTGAGATAGATAGATAAGTTGATAATTATAGACAGCACCGTTGAAGTCAAACAAGTGATTGTGTTGAAACTGGATGACCCTGATGACGCCAGGGGCGAGTTGACACTAAGCCGAGATGAGGGTGTGGCTTAGACTGACGGAGCTTCGGACGGGAAGAGGGGCCTAAATAACCGCCCATGTCCAATGAAATCTCGCCCCGGTTGAGCTACCTTGATCTGGCAAGGGGAGGCAAGAAAACTGAGCTAAGGAACAAAAAGATACAGGCATAATTCATCTTAGATCTAGTGAAAGCTAGACCGTGTAATTTTGACAACCTGTTCTAACGTCGGAAGTTTTCTTGCGCCCTGGTGCCATGGGCAGTTGAGGACGTTGGAGCCCTGAAAAGGCGCGATAAAAACCAATTGTCAGAAGGTGCTCGCTCTAGAGGGCCGTTGCTTTGCGCTTGGCCGCTGACGACCACCCCCGGATTCCGCTATGCCATTGCATCTC